AGTCGCTGGGCACCGGCTGCAGGCCTGTGGGGTCTTTTGGTGCCGTTCCTGCTTTCACCAGGTAATGGCCTCGAGGCTGGATCCCGCAGGCCTGCAGCTGTCCTGTGCAGTGCGGCGCATCACTGCATGGCCAGTCTCTGGGCACCGGCTGCAGGCCTGTGGGGGCTTTTGGTGCCGTTCCTGCTTTCACCAGGTAATGGCCTCGAGGCTGGATCCCGCAGGCCTGCAGCTGCTTTCCCCTCCTGCCCTTCTCTAACAGTGTCCGTCCCGGACCCAGGTCTGACCTCAGACCTCTCCCATCTTCCTCAAGAATGTCAGAGCGCAGGCCCGTCCAGCCCAGCGTCCTGTCTGCCCACGGTGGCCAGGGCTAGGGGCCCCAGAGGGAGTGAACTGAACAGCAAATCGTCATGTGATCCCTCCCGTCTCCCATTCCCAGCTGCTGACAGAGATCAGGGCCACCCTCCCTGCCCAGCCTGGCTAATAGGCACTGATGGGCCTGCCCTCCAAGAATGTATCAAGCTCTTTTTTGAACCCTGTTAAAGTCCTGGTCTTCACAACCTCCTCTGGCAAGGAGTTCCACAGGTTGTGTGCTACATGAAGAAATATCCTTTTCTTTATTTGAAACCTGCTACCTATTAATTTCTTTGGTGACCCCTAGTTCTTGTGTTATGGGAACCAGTGAATAACTTTTCCTTATTCACCTTCGGCGCACCAGTCACTTCCTGCTTCAGGCCTGATGGGTCTTGAGCACAGAGGTCCAGGCTTTGCCACATCATGTCAGCTGTCAGGGCCAGTGTGAGCTGTGGGGCAGAGCTCCCTGGGAAGCTGCTCAGCTTCTCACCAGGCCTTCTCTCCTCTGCTCTCTCCAGGCCTGGGCCCCAACTCTTCCTCCACCCCAGCACACGAAGTTGGCAGGAGGACATCTGTGCTCTTCTCCAAAAAGAACCCCAAAACTGCAGGTCCCCCCAAACGCCCTGGGCGGCCCCCCAAGAACCGAGACAGCCAGCTTGCTGCAGGGCATGGGAGTAGCCCGATAGGTCCCCCCCAGCTCCCAATAATGGGGGGGTCGCAGCGCCAGCGGAAGAGAGGCAGGAGCCCACGCCCAAGTTCCAGCTCTGACAGTGACAGTGATAAATCCACAGAAGACCCTCCCATTGGTGAGTGTGGGCGGGGCAGCAGGGAGGGGGGCGGGCGGGGTCTTGCTGGGTCTGTGTGTGACTGTACTGGTGTTACTTGCCTGGCTGTGCTGCAGACCTGTCAGCCAATGGCTTCAGCGGGGGGAGCCAGCCGGTGAAAAAGAGCTTCCTGGTCTACCGGAACGACTGCAGCCTTCCTCGCAGCAGCTCCGACTCGGAGTCCAGCAGCAGCAGCAGCAGCAGCGCTGCCTCGGATCACACCAGGTATGGGGCCCACATGGCTCCTGGTGCTGGCCTAGGCCTTTGGCTGCCCTGTGCAGTGGGCCAGCAGGGAGGGGCTGTCCCAGCACCTGGGCCAGGAGTGTCAGGAAAGCTGTTGCGTGAGCTGATGCACCCACTGTGGCTGCCTAGCTGCTCCCTACCTGCCCCATGTCGTACCCCAAGCTGTTTGGGTTTGGGCCATGCCTTCAGAGGTGCCTGACACTCCTTGGGCCTCCGCTCAGCCCTGCCCTGGGGTAGCTCTCCAACCTCCTGCGTGGCCAGAGCAGATAGAGGCGGCAGTTCCTTTGTCACCATGGGCAGAGGGGCCTCAGGCCTTTCCTGGAGTGAAGACCCAGGCTGCAGGGGGCCGTGTCATCTGGGGGACTGGCCTCACTTTTAGTCACTGACTCCTGCTTTCCGAGGCAGCTGGAGAGCCTGGTGTTCTAGTACACTTGTTGAGCAGTTCCTCTGCTGAGCGCTGGGGGGGGCTGCTCCTCACGGAGAGATTAAAGAGACTGGGACTTTTCAGCTCGGAAAAGAGGAGACGAAGGGGGGATATGATAGAGGTCTGTAAAATCATGGGTGGTGTGGAGAAAGGGAATAAGGAAAAGTTATTTACTTGTTCCCATAATATAAGAACTGGGGGTCACCAAATGAAACTAATGGGCAGCAGGTTTAAAACAAAAGGAAGCTCTTCACACAGCGCAGTGTCAACCTGTGGAACTCCTTGCCGGAGGAGGCTGTGAAGGCTAGAACTAGAACAGGGTTTAAAAGAGACCTAGATACATTCATGGAGGTTCGGTCCATGAATGGCTATTAGCCAGGATATGTAAGGAATGGTGTCCCTGGCCTCTGTGTGTCAGAGGGTGGAGATGGATGGCAGGAGAGAGATCGCTGGATTGTTACCTGTTGGATTCACTCCCTCTGGGACACCTGGCATTGGCCGCTGTCGGCAGACAGGACACTGGGCTGGATGGGCCTTTGGTCTGAGCCAGTCTGGCCGCTCTTAGGTTCACTTACCAGCTGCCTCCTAGGGCATGGGTAGCCTAGAGACCCCTCTTCCTCCCACCCCTGCTGGAAGGGCCATGTGGCCCCTAGTAACAGGCTGCTCCCCTGCCTTCCCACAGCACAACGCCCTCAAAGCAGGGCAGAGGGAAGCCTTCCTTCTCCCGGGTGAACTTCCCAGAGGATAGCAGTGAGGACACCTCTGGGACGGAGAACGAGTCCTACTCTGTTGGCGCGGGGCGAGGCGTGGGTCACAGCAGTGAGTATCTCGGGTCCCTGGCTCGGGTCGCTGTCTGGAGGGTCAGGGTCAGTGCTAATTCCACCCCTTTCTTTGGCGCAGTGGTGCGGAAGAGCATTGGGCGTGGACCGGGGTGGTTGTCGGAAGATGAAGACTCCTCTCTGGATGCACTGGACCTGGTGTGGGCAAAGTGCCGGGGGTACCCATCCTATCCAGCACTGGTGGGTACAGCAGCCTGCGCGCCTCCGCTCCCTTTGCTCCCACTGAAGGGTCCCCTGGCACTGTAGCCAAGCCAGCACTCTTGATGGGAATCCCTTCCTCTTGCCCCACATCACTGCTATCCTCCAGCCACATAGGTTGGGCTCCCTGACCTCTGGGGAGTCCAGGGCTTGCTCCTGCCCATGCTAACCATGGCGAGTGCACGTTTGTCATTTGCTCCGCTGAGCAAACCCCGGGGTACCCTTGTTCCTTGGCTCTTACACAGGGGCCTGAGGGTGGCCTCAGATCGCCTCTTTCGTCTGGGTTCACTTACCAGCTGCCTCCTAGGGCATGGGTAGCCTAGAGACCCCTCTTCCTCCCACCCCTGCTGGAAGGGCCATGTGGCCCCTAGTAACAGGCTGCTCCCCTGCCTTCCCACAGCACAACGCCCTCAAAGCAGGGCAGAGGGAAGCCTTCCTTCTCCCGGGTGAACTTCCCAGAGGATAGCAGTGAGGACACCTCTGGGACGGAGAACGAGTCCTACTCTGTTGGCGCGGGGCGAGGCGTGGGTCACAGCAGTGAGTATCTCGGGTCCCTGGCTCGGGTCGCTGTCTGGAGGGTCAGGGTCAGTGCTAATTCCACCCCTTTCTTTGGCGCAGTGGTGCGGAAGAGCATTGGGCGTGGACCGGGGTGGTTGTCGGAAGATGAAGACTCCTCTCTGGATGCACTGGACCTGGTGTGGGCAAAGTGCCGGGGGTACCCATCCTATCCAGCACTGGTGGGTACAGCAGCCTGCGCGCCTCCGCTCCCTTTGCTCCCACTGAAGGGTCCCCTGGCACTGTAGCCAAGCCAGCACTCTTGATGGGAATCCCTTCCTCTTGCCCCACATCACTGCTATCCTCCAGCCACATAGGTTGGGCTCCCTGACCTCTGGGGAGTCCAGGGCTTGCTCCTGCCCATGCTAACCATGGCGAGTGCACGTTTGTCATTTGCTCCGCTGAGCAAACCCCGGGGTACCCTTGTTCCTTGGCTCTTACACAGGGGCCTGAGGGTGGCCTCAGATCGCCTCTTTCGTCTGCCTCCCAGAGAGTGCTTACTCACACACTTGTTCCCATAATATAAGAACTAGGGGCCACTAAATGAAACTAGTGGGCAGCAGGTTTAAAACAAATAAAAGGAAGTTCTTCATCACACAGCGCATAGTCAACCTGTGGAACTCCTTGCCGGAGGAGGCTGTGAAGGCTAGAACTAGAACAGGGTTTAAAAGAGAACTAGATAAATCCATGGAGGTTCAGTCCATGAATGGCTGTTGGCCTGGCTGGGTAGGAATGGTGTCCCTGGCCTCTGTGTGTCAGAGGGTGGAGATGGACGGCAGGAGAGAGATCGCTGGATTGTTACCTGTTTGATTCACTCCCTCTGAGGCACCCGGCACTGGCAGACAGGACACTGGGCTGGATGGACCATTGGTCTGACCCAGTCTGGCCGCTCCGATGTTCACAGGGTCTGCGGTGGGGCGGGCTGGGGAGAACAGTGTCCAACAGGGATTCAAGGGGATAGATTACTGCTGGCTGGACTGCACTCTGCTTGTCCTGAGCTGCCATGTGCCCCGGGACAGGCATTCCCCGTGTCTGAACGGGACTGGGGCTCCCCTCCTGCCCCTTCCAGGGATCTCACCTCTGTCTCCCTGTGGCTTTGGCAGATCATTGATCCGAAGATGCCACGGGAGGGCATGTTCCACCATGGCGTCCCCATCCCGGTGCCTCCCTTGGAGGTGCTGAAACTGGGAGAGCAGATGACACAGGAAGCGCGAGAGCATCTCTACCTCGTCCTCTTCTTTGACAACAAGCGCACCTGGTAAGGCCAGGCTTTTTCCGGCTGCGTGCCTCTGCATGGCAGAGCCGGGCCCTGGGGAAGGAGTGGAGCAGGGCTGGGGGAGGCCTCCAGTGAGGTGTGCTGTCCCTTTCCCCAGGCAGTGGCTGCCCCGCACCAAGCTTGTGCCGCTGGGTGTGAACCAGGACCTGGACAAAGAGAAGATGCTGGAGGGCCGCAAGTCAAACATCCGCAAGTCTGTGCAGATCGCCTATCACCGGGCCATGCAGCATCGCAACAAGGTGCAAGGCGAGCAGAGCAGCGACTCCAGCGAGAGCGACTGAGGCCTGTCTCGGCACGAGCACACGGCTCCGGCCTGGGCACTAAGTGCAGCTGGTCTGTACGGGCGCCGCTGGCACAGCCCCAGAGCTTGCAGCCTTCCAGTGGGTTAGAGCAGAAGCAGTGAGCCACCAGCTGCTGCAGAAGGCAGTGCCCAGCCTGGGGGTGCTGGAGAGTACAGGCCCCTAGTGCCAGGGCCCTTCCTGCAGGCCTGCTCCATGGGATTCCTGGCTCATGTTTCACATTCTGGGGGCAGGCCACTTGCCCAGTGAAGCCTCAGCCCTTCGACCTGACTGCTTCTCCCCATGTGCAGCCGCACAGCCCCAGCGGGTGAAGTGCCCGTGCCCATCGGGGTGCTGTAAATACTGTACAGGACGGAGAATTTAAATTATTCTCGGTTGTAGCCCGGCGCAGCGTCGTCGGGGAAGCATTTTGGTACTAAGTCACCCTTCCGAGCGTGCCCCGCCCAGGACTCTGTACCCTTCCTTGCACCCTGTGCGACGGGACCGGCTGCCCTGCCACCGACTCGCGTCTCTTCCTCCCGTGCGGTCGGACGCGTGTTTGTATTTATTGGGAAGGGTGAAAATCGATTAATTCTTAGGAAATAAACCCTCTGCTGGGAGCCCTGCTTGGGCCTGTTGCTGGGCTGGCTGGGCCATGGGGTGCTCAGGGTCCCTGCCGGGTGGAG